AGAGAGAGAGAGAGAGAGAGAGAGAGAGAGAGAGAGAGAGAGAGAGAGAGAGAGAGAGAGAGAGAGATGCACAAGGATACAAAGACGTGTGCAGGCGATGTGAATCGCCACACACAGGCATAGCACACAAATCTCTACCTGCTCCAGAAAAGCCTACCCTAGCATGAGGCTGCAGAGATCCTACAGTCAGGTTCCGAGTCCAAAACAACAATCGACTTGAAACACAGAGAAGAGTCATGGGCACACAGACACAAGTATGTGTGGAGGTCATATGAGTCATCACACACACACACACACACACACACACACACACACACAGGACACAAATCTCCACCGGCTTTTCGTCCTATGCTTGGGGCCACCCGGGCAACACTCTTTCTTACCCAGCACCTTGCTCACAGCCTCCCGTCCTTCAATTTCAGATGTGCATAGAAGGCCCCCTCCTAAACCCCTCACAAACCCCTCAAAAGCCACATGCAAATCACATGCTAGCCGAATCTCAGTTGGGCCATCACAGTGCGGCATTGAGCAAGTTTCTTCGGCTTCCGCAGCCGATACTCCCTCTCTATGGGCAGGCAATGACGTGGCCTGCTCCAAAGTAAGGATGTTTTGCTGTTGCAAGATCTGGTCTGCAATTGGTTGCCCTATCGGAAATGACCTTGCAGTGCGGCACACTGTAGGCGGGTCATGTGAGAGTCTATTCTCAACCTGAGGCTGCTGCCTCTGTTTCTCATCTGGCAAGGAGGGTCCGATCACCGGTGCAGCCAGAGGATTCCGAACGTTTCGTGTGGGGCATGAACAGAGAGGATGTGGCCGGTGATGGCATCGGGAATAGTCCTCAAGGGAGAGACACATACGCTCCATGCCAGCTTCATAAATACACTGACGACACATGGCATGTTGCTGACATGCCAGCAGGAAAGCAGGCTGGCTCACGTTCACAGTTATTGAAGCATGGCATATCAAGGCCACAACATCATATCGGGCAAATAATAAGGGGGTAGGGGGGATGAGTGTGAGACAACGGGTCATAGTTTTCATGGCAGAGGTTGGCAGTGACCATCCCTTCATGATATTGGGAGCAGAGATTATGCAATGTACATCCTCACCGAACTGTGCCTGTGTGAAGACCCAATGGCATGGCACAGCCACTATCAGCGGCAGGATCCGTCGCATCTGCGCAAGCAAGAGATGCAGGCTGGCCAGGTTGAGGGGGGGGGGGGGGGACCCATCTTGCACAATACTGTCTTCCACTCAAGACCATACCGAGCAGGAGGGGGCGGCGAACTATTCCAGGATAGGATGTCATTGATGAACTGTGCCTCGCCCCAACAGAGCGTAAGATTGGCAATTTATGGTCCAGCGTCATGCGCTGCATAGAGATAGGTGGAGAGAGAATGTGTGTCTCTGTAGCCCACCCGATAAGACCTACCTCAGTCACTAGTAAACACCAACAGACATACAGCGGCAGGTCAAACTGACCAGTGAGAGACGGTCTCTATGCAAACCTGAAGTGCTGAGCTAGAGTTGCAGATCCTATGAACCCTGGGTGGCTATGGTGACCAGTCTGCTCTCCTGCTGACCTCCTCTCACCTCCACCTACACACTACTAGCCAGCACCACGTACTGATCAGCGGCCTGCCCAACTCAAATGCGAGTGACCAATCTCAGTCCTTTCTGCCCGGTGTGTGACAGGTGAAGATAACAATAGTGCAGGCACTCCCTGATCAATACCTGAGCCTTCTTGACTGGCCACCGTCCACAAAATTTCATAGCACCATAAAATACAAATGCAGAAACAGAACAATTGCAGACTCAATTCCGCAAAGAAATAAGAATAAATGGGAAACCAAATCGTTGCATGCCTGGTTGCCAAGGTCAGTGTGCCCAGCGGTTCGGCCTAGCCCGAGCATCCCACACCTTGTCAGAGCATGCGCTGAACTTACAGGACTTCTACAAGTCCCATGCAGGGGTATGGATGTTCATACACATAGGAGGAAATGGTACCCCCACCTATGTGATACCAGAATCACTGCCACCAAGAGCACCCTGGTACTCCCACCCATGCACTCTGAAACTAAGACAGCCAACATGAATTTCTAGTCTACACCAGTGCTCCAAAGAAGACAACCATCATCAATTGTTCCATCCATAGAATTAACAATCCCTTTGAAACAAACAATCCGGACCTACAACTTGCCCAGACCATGAAACATAGACCACCGGGAGCTCTACTGTCTAAAGCACCACTTGACACCCTGCCACACCTTTCATCCGCAACACAAACTCTCTGAATCCTCCTACAAGGCTACAACCATCCCACAGCACCAGACGATAGCTTCGATCTGAACATGACATCAAACTCCCTCCAAACAAGAGAGTACTCTCGTGCATGATCGCCTACAAATGCCATTACACTGATTACAGTCAGAAAGAAAAAGACCATCCAATCCATCCAACCTTTGCATACAGCTGGGCCAATCAAAGAAAAAAGTTGCATCAAATACATCAAATCAAATGCAAAATTACATAGTGGCAACTGTGAGTATGTGTGTGTGTGTAGACATGTCATTGTGGGCCCATTTGTGTACGTTGGTAGTTGTCATCTCTGCTTGTGTGTGCATGCATATAACTGTGCACACATGGAGAACTGCCACATTCTGGCCTTTTCTTGTCCTGCAACATTATAGTACAATACCGAGCGTAAATATGAAATACTAAATTTTAAAATCTTAACCACGGTGCCCAGGGTAAATCTTAACCACACTGCATCATGAACACTGCCTAGGATGACCACACAATTACACATGTGAGATCACTCTGCAATTTAACCACAGTGTTGTGTGATAAGCGGATGACGTAATGGTATGCAGTAGAGAGGGTAAATCATAGGCAGTATTAATTTTCCTTGCCAAGGGAAAAGAAACATACAGTGCGCATTATCTCCATCACCTCTCACAATGACCTTTCGCCCCATTCCTTTCCCACTCTCCGGCTCCTCTTACCCCCTTCTTCCAATTCTGGTATCATTATGAGTACGGCAAAGTAGGACGCGCATGAACACTGACTGCTATGTCCACTGTCCGCAAATACCAAGAGCAAAATTGTCAAGCGTTGAAGGAAAAGAAACTCTAAGTTGACCGGACACGGCCATAGGAATCAGGTGAAGGGAGAGGTACTACTTACACAGTCCCTGGTGCGCATGTACCAGACAGTACCAAGTAATGTCCATGCCCAAAAAAATGGGTATAGAATTAGGATCAGAATGGCAAGTACTCTGATCCGGTATATGTAGAACCTATGCCGATGTGCAACGGTCATTGCTCTGTGATATTCTGCCATCCCTCCAAGGTCATCAGTCATGTGCCTCCGCTCTTCCGTCATCAATCTGCAGCATCACAATAGCAACACATCAGACACGTATAAAGAACACACTCTTCAGCGTCACCATAACAACACATCAGACGGGTAAACACAGCACACACACAGTGCTAAAAGCCTTCAGGTGCATTGCACACGTGCTGCTGCCATCTGCACAGTGTTTGCAAGGCAGGCAACCAACCACCCTGGGAGGAAGGCAAACTTCCACTCCCTGTATTGGGGCAATGTACTACTGCCTCACTTTTGCCCGCCCATTCTTCCCCCCCTCCCAGCTACCGCTTCTCCTCCTCCAGACCATGACGGTGCACCTGCGATGATTTGTTGGAGGCCCCAGCTGACATCAACCTGCCACAGTTATTGCAGCCAGAACTGTCTGGGAGAGACTGCACAGACTGGAATGTGGCTCCCCCTACTGTGCAACCTGGAGGGTAATGCCCACAGGTATTACGTCAAGGCCACTGTCCGTACTAAGCTATTAATGCATGTCTCCTCGCTTATAATCACAACCCCTATACCGTTTCTGGCTTTGCAGACAGTGACAAAAGGAGTGGACCAACAGAGTGTCTACCCGGATTATGACTGTGGTGGGACTGGCACGAATATGAAAGTGCTGCCTATGGCACGCACGGCAAGGCAGCAGCAGCTCCCAAACTGCACTGCAGAATTATATGCTTGACATGGATTCATAATTTCAGAAATTCAGAGTCATAACCTTCCCAGACCATTCGTGTGCTTTGTGGGACAAGGGCACAAGGGCACATACAGTATGTCACATTACTCTGTTTTTTTKTKGGGGGGGGGGGGGGGGGGGGATCACATGATAAAATCATATGAGCAGATACTACACTTGATCTTAGCCAGAAGGGCGAATAGGGGAAGTTCCACTCAGTTTGGCTTGTTAAACAGTACTACCGTCTTCACCCGAATAGAACGCCCGGTCATTATAGCCGTATTTGGTGCAATTTTCAGCCCAGATGCAGCGATAATGGTCGGGCGTTCTATTTGGGTGAAGAGGTAGTATGTTCCGGGACTGCACCTTGCAGGAGGTGAAGTTTTGTCCGGACGAGAGACAATTTGGCCAGAGCTATCCCCTCCCCTGCCTGGGATCAAGCTGCGGTACCTGCCTGTGCGGGTCAGACAGATTCTCCAAGCACAGGTGGCAGGGGCCCCTCAAAGCGCTGTCACTCTGCCTTGCCACTCTGTGCCTCATGTACGACCTGCAATGTAGCAACTGAAAGGTTATCACCCCCAGAACGAGAAGTGGGAGATCAGGTTACACAGCTGCCAACCATCCTTACGTTGGATCCAACCCCATCATCACTGGGCCACAAGACAGGCTATGTCAGCAGTCCAACCCTGAGATACTCTCTCCTCACCGGCGCTCTGTGATGATGCAGCTGATGTTCAGTGAACAATCCATCGGCATTCCGTGTGTCCTGAGCATTTCAAGTGTGTTGTCCATGCAAGTCTCTGTTTCCACAATTTCGATGACAGTCTCCCATGAACGAATCCACTCAACCATACTGTTTCTCCCGGTGCCCAGGCACCCAAGTTGTGCCCAGATACACGCCCGGCGGCCCAGGTTCCCGGCAGGGCACGACTCCTGGGCAGGGTTCCGGGTGGCCCCAGCCCACAACAAAAAAAAGGGGAAAAAATTCCGGAAAAAGAAAAGCTGTTTAGATTCTTTAGAATTGCAATGGAAACGACTTTTGCCTGTGGGTCAGAACAGTATTCCTCACCACCATATCAAAGATAAAAAAGAATAGAACCCCTTTAAACCCCTTTTTCCCTTTTGGACAGAAAATGGCCCTGATTTGGGATCCGCTTGGCATGCGCAGAAAATGGCCACTGCCAAAAAAAAAAAGGACCACAATTTTTCTCATGCCCAGGTGCCCTGGGCGTGGGACCTTCCTGGGCATGACGCCCACATGCCGGGCTGGGCAGGCCTGCCCGGGCAGGTGAATATCCCCATATGCCACCCTCTTATGTTGTGTCCTTGTGGCAGAGAGGGAATGTGCTTCTACGTTGCTGGCATGTGGAGGTCATCTTGCCTTTCATATCTGACTCTGCGCCACCATTCGAAGCAGTGACTGCCTCTCAGGATTTGATGCAGTGCTCCCAGACAGACATGCATCACAGACCCCACCCAGATGGCCTGTTCATAGCGTAGTTTTCAACACAAAGTTAGTATAGAACACAAGGTTGAAAGGCCGACAAGTTTGAGACGGGCAGGGGTGAATAATACCTGATCAGGGAGGCCACAAAAAAATTGTCTGTGAACATGAGTATGCGTGCAACAAAAACCGCGCCATAGTCCACCTGCAGATGGCAAATATAAAATGATCCAGCAGCGAAACCAGACAGTATATGTCATATGATGGGGATGACTCTGCTGGAGTTAGCATCAGCTGCTATGACAGCTTTTCAGACCAAGAGGAGGACATGACAACACACCCCCATCAAAACCTGAGAGCACCAGCCAGAAAGAGTACAGTAATATCCTTTAAGCAGAGTTGCAGCGGACTCACTAGTGCAGAGCATGCTCGTGCGGCCAGCAGCGCAAACGCACGTGATGCGGCGCAACCCCAAAAATGGGGGCCGACAAAAAAATTCGGGAAGGGCGTGTGTGCCTCCCTTCCAAAAACTGCAATACACTTTGTGTGTGTGTAGATTGTCACCACAACAGCCCCTGTTCCACCCAGATGGGTAGATCCAAAATCGAAGCAGCTTTACCTCGATTGCAGACAATGAAGCACACCTGAGATGAGCCAGTCCAACAATGAAACATGCTTTTTCTCTAAAGAAAGCAACATGAAGCACAATAGAATCAAATAGATCCATTATATCCCCTTCTTGACTATCTTTACTTTGGCTTTCTTTGGGTACTTTTTTTATTTGTTCTTGCTACTCTCCTTTTACTGTGCCTCTCAAGTACAAGGTTCGCCACGTAGATTGTGGTTGAGTGAGCCGCCCACATCCCCGTGTGCCATAACGGCCCGCTTGCACGCTATGAAAGGAAGCAGAGTAAAGAGGAGGGCCTACTCCTGTCGATTTTTACTCAGATCTTAGGTTTATACTTTGTCTGGTCTCTTTATGATGCTCATTTGTGTGCATTTGCTAGTAGTACACAAGACGAGGGAGGAAGGAAAGAGGCAGGGGGTGGAGTTCTATGGGAAGCGAGGGTCGGGGGACGGAGAAGGGGAAGAAGAGGGAAATGGAGGGGCAAAGAACAGAACAGAGGAAAGACAAACTTCACAGGGTTCTCGACAGTCACCGCTGGAGCATGCTACTCTAGAATGGGAGACGAGGCCAGGCGGTGTTTGGGTTGCAAGGAAGTTTGCGTTGAGCAGCAGCCATTGCCTATGGTAAGTGGCCAGCCCCACAGACCAGACAGGTCCGGTTCCGGTGTGGACTATGGAAGCATCGCATCCAATATTCGTAGTTGCAGTTGCTGCATCGTATGGCACGGCGTAGAAAGATGTAACAGGCTACGTCACTCCTACATGCTAGGAACACAGAGGCACACCGACCGCAATTGTATAAGCATTGCAGTTCGAGCCCCTGTCTACAAATTGGACATGACATCTCAGATGCTGTTTATAAGTTACGTGTGTTGTAGATTGTCACCACAACAGCCCCTGTTCCACCCAGATGAGTAGATCCAAAATCAAAGCAGCTTCGCCTCGATTGCAGACAATGAAGCAAACTGACGATGAGCCAATCCAACAATGCAACAGTTTTACCTCTATAGCAACCAACATGAAGCTGCCCTTTCTTTTTTTTTTTTTTCTTCTTTTTTTTTTTTTACGAGCAATAAGCTAAACCCTAGAAACATTCATTAAAAAGAAAGAAAAGAAAACATCTTTAAGAAGAAAAAGAAAAACCTCTTACAAAAAGAAAAACGAAAAAAAAGGGAAAACTTTATTAATACAAGCCGGGCAACGGGCTCGGCTGAAGCTGCCCTTTCTTGACTGTCCTTACTGTCGCTTTCTTCGGCGTATTGACTATCCTTACTGTCGCTTTCTTCGGTGTACACCTTTTATTTGTTCTTGCAGCTCCCCTTCTACTGTGCCTCTCACGTACAAGGCTCGACACATTGAGTCTGGTTGAGTGCGAGCTGCCCACGTGTGCCATAACGGCCCACTTGCACGCTGTGAACGGAGGCAGATTGAAGGGGGAGGTATATTCCTGTTCATTTGTCCTCAAATCTTCAGCTTATATTTTGTCTGTTCTCTTAATGATGCACATTCATATGCATTGACTAGTAGTACACAAAAGAAAGGAGGAAGGAAAGGTTGTGAGTGGAGTTCTATAGGAAGTGAGGGTTGGGATAGGGAGAAGGGGAAGAGGAGGATGAAGGACAACTGGAGGGAGTAGACGGGCAAAGAACAGAACTGAGAAAAGACAAACTTCACAGGGTTCTAAATACTCTTCGCTGAAGCAGACTACTCTAGAATGGCACAAGAGGCCAGTCAGTGTTTGCGTTGCAGGGAATTTTGAGTTGAGAAGCAACCGTTGCTTATGGTAAGTGGCCACCCCTACAGATTGGACAGGACGGGTTTGGGTGTGGACTGTGGAAGCACTGCATCCAATTCTTGCAGTTGCAGTTGCTGCATCACATGGCACGGTGTAGACAGATGAGTGTGTGTTTTAAATTTCCACCACATCAGCCCCTATTCCATCAGACGGGTAGATTCGAGTTGAGCCAGCCCAACACTTGAACAATTTCACCTCTTTAGCAAGCAACATGAATCATAATAGAACCATTTAGAACTGCATTTCGCTCCGTTGCCTCGCGCACGTACACGGGTAAGCACTTTCATAATGCACAGGCAATTGACACACCCCGCTTGGGAGAGCACATGGTAAGATTTATACAGACACTGCCTGCACACCGCCCAAGGGGTCTAGGTCCATGGTTGTAGTATGCTGGATAGGGTCATAGGGAGGGCTGCTTGAGTGCTTGGTCTTAGGGGGTCTGAGGATCAGGGTCTTAGCTTGGCTACACCATGGGCGGGGGGGGCTGGAAGCGGCGGGATAGGTTAGGGTAGATTAAAGGGGGAGGGTTTACTGCCTAGACTGTCGATAACCAAAAAGCTGCCTAGACTGTCGAGCCCTGCCTGAGCAGCTTGTGCGAGGAGGTCTGCAGAAGGCCCGAAGACGAAGTGGTGGAAAGTGACATACCGTAGCCATAGCAGTAGGGTAGCGGCGGCCATAGCCGCCATAGCTGTAGCTTAGGGGAAGTGTGTGTGTACTGCGTGTGTGTGCTGAGTATCGCGTGTGGGATATCCAGGGTGATCCAGAGTGTGAACAGTGAGTTGTTTGAGGCGCACAGTCGCCATAGCCAGAGGAAGCGAACTGTTGCCTGGAAGCCATATCTCTGAATTATGTGTGGGCGCATGTCGCCAGTTGGTTGTTCTCCTGTTCACGTGCATGAAAAGTGTGAATAAGTCGAGTCTGATTGCAATAACCACAAAACTGCCAAAACTGTCGAAACAGTTGATACCTCTACCCTACGATCTGTCAGTCTCGCCCATATGTACTAGTTCGTGGGGGTGCCATGGCCGAGCCTGGGTACAGCTATAGCATGTTTCCCGGCACTATGGAACCCGTACGAGAGTCCACACAGAGTGAACTTAACAGCAGGGCCCATCTTGGGGGGGATAATCCTACGCACACACTGGGTGTTAGTATGGGGTAGGTACTGGTTACTTCTCATCCCACAGGTATCTCACGATGCCTGCGGGTGGTGCTTCATCCAGGTTGGGGTCCGTGGGAATTCTCATTGGGGGAATTAGTCGGGACTGTGGATTCTTGGGGAGGCTGGGGAAGGAAGGCATCATGCTTAGGATAGCGGAGGGCGGGATATCGCATCTTAGTGGAAGGGCAGTTCGCTGCCCATAGAGTCTGTGGGATGAGGCACAGATGGGGGATGACTGCATATGTCTTCTCTTCTTTGTTTTTTTTTGTGTTTTTTTTTTTTTTGGGAGAAGAACCTCAGTGATGTGACTCCCCTTGAGAGACGGGGAGCAATCAAGTGCATGCTGGCCCTTTCCATTCCGGGGCTCCATTCTACTTCAGCACTTTCCAGAATGTATCTGACCTTCTGCACTGCAGTGGATGAATCCAAAGGCAATCACGTACAGAGCTTGGTATGCCTTTTTTCCTTTGTTTTCCTTTTATTTTTTTTTTCGGAAGAAGAATCTCAACTGTTTACGATGTTGACTCCCCGTGAGAGACGGGGAGCGATCAAGTGCCTACCAGCCCTTTCCATTTCAGGGCTTACTTTCCAGAATGCATCTGACCGTACTTTCTGGGCGGCAGTTGATGAATCTGAAGATTCTGAACGCTATATTACTCCTCTCTCTCTCTCTCTCTCTCTCTCTCTCTCTCTCTCTCTCTCTCTCTCTCTCTCTCTCTCTCTCTCTCTCTCTCTCTCCATGCCTCGATCAAGGTCCGATACACTCATGACGATGGTCGG